TATAAAGAAGCCTAATAGAACTTACTTATTGACAGCAGTGATGTCAAAGCAGAATCGTTTTTCAATTGTATCTGACGTACGACGTACACACGATGCCAATTCAAAAGTTTCTTTACTACTCTGTTAAAATACAATTAATATGAATTATTTAATTACCAAAATCAAAGTCTCGCATACGTAAAATTTTACTTACAAACTTTCCTGTTAGCTGATTGTAAGGTATCATTGTGAATTCCTGTTTGTCTTTTTGATATGTACAATATTGCTTTGTCCATGTTGTACCAAATGCTTCTGTTAAATTAAATAGCGTTTATGTTGGATTAAATGTATGGTAAAATAAATTGCAAACGTTAAGGTGGCATTAAATAATATACCTACTTTTTTCCATTAGAAATAAATATCCTTCTCGTGTGTAAAGTTTGTTGACACCGGTTTCCACAGCAGACTATAAAAATGTTATTGATATCAATATATCTATCATTACTGTTTTATTAGTACTCTTCTAAGTAATAATTATCCTCATTATAAAATTAATTAAGTATAGACGAACTTTAAAAGAACTTATTACATACCTTTTTCATATCCTTCATTTTATTCATAAGCGATTCTGTTTTATCCCGGGTAGCAAGGAAATTTTCTCTAGTCTTGTAAAACACACACACACACATGAAATTCAGAATTAGTAAGCTATTTATCATGCTGTTACCCTAATCGTAATTGCACCACACAATACTTTAGTAAGAAGTTATACCTAAGTACTCATACAAGTAATTGAACATTAACAATCAATTCGATTATGGAAACTATCAAATTATTAACAAAATATAGTGTCAAACGCCACACAAAACTATATAAACGCCCAAAATTACGTATTCCCAAAATTATTTTCTTTAAATATTTAGGATATGCTGAATCACATTCTTGTAATGTAAATTATAATCACTTCTCTCCTTTATAGTTACAATAAAAAAGAATATTATATTATTTATTAGAGAAATTCCATAGAAATTAGAATGTGAAACAACAATATATTTAATATATTTCGGTAAATCAATGTTACAATGCATAAAGCAATTTCTTTGCCATTTGAATAATACTAATGTAAGTAATATGTTTTAGAATCGTGCCTCAGTAATACTATGCTCTTTTCATGAATTTTTAAGCCAAGGGGTATTAAATTTAAAAAAATACAAACCTTCTGTATTTTTAACTGCAGTTCAGTCATATAAGGCTTAA